AAAAAAATATGCAATCAAGTAAGCAATAGATCATATCCACTTTACAATTTTTAAAAGGCATGTCCATTTTTAACCCATTCGCGCCGGGCGTCACGTATAGGTGACGGACCCACTGTGAGTTTACTTGTTTGATTGTTTAAAAACATAGATGGCTCCACTTGCACTTGTACTGCCTGTCTCGTCTGTTTACCCTTTTCTTTAATTTACGAAACTATTTTGCGTTATCTTATTTTGCTGTTACTAATGTTTATAACATTATAGCAATTATAATGTTTATAATAAAAATAACCATCGGTATTCATAGCACTAGTAAAAATACATTTTCCCGCCAAATGAAATCAGGTAAAGCAGAGCCATCTAGTGTAGAGAAATTTCATTAAAAAATCTAAAAAATGAGCACAGCATTTCCCCCATTTTTTGTTCATTTTTACCCGACGCGAATGGGTTAAAGGACATGTTTATTTTTTAAGGGTATGTCCATTTTTTAAAGGGCATGTCCATCTTTTAAAGAAATGTCAGTTTATGAGGGACATGTTCTTAAAAAATACTGTTACATGACGCCGTGTCCATTTATTGCTTTAGTAATGAAACAATAACAACAACAAAATCCTCTGATTAAATATCAGTGATATTTAATCCATGTCCGATTCTCACAAGAGGACGTGTCCAACATCCGCATTATGCATTCCATCAGCAATGAATATATCATTTCCGATGTACGGGATTCAGCTAAGCACGATAGCAAGCCCCTAGAGTACCAAGATTTTTTTCTTGCCGTGCTCCTCTCAAGGCGATGTCTTCGGCTGCCCTCGGTTTACCATTCCTCCCATTCGGTATTGTTTATCTCTTGGTAATAGCGTCACTATTAATGTACCCATTCGTTCCTTAGCGACTTTCTTTCCCATGCATTTCGTTGCGATGAGGTGTCTCCACTGTATGTATAGTGATATACAGACCAACAGCAACATACATCAACTCCCACGGACATTCGTGCTAGTTTTAGCCATTAGGTAGATTGCCCAATTAACATTTACGCCTCATTCATACTTCACCGAAACCTTTATCATCTTACTTTCTATTTCTTTCCTTTCCTTTCATATTTTCTACACACACACACACACACACACACACACACACACACACACACACACACACATACATACATATACGTGTGTGTGTGTATACATACATTTCCTATACCAATACTTCCTGTTCTGGTGTAACATTCATACACGATTATCTGCTTATGTAAGGGCACGAGTTATAATGAACATTTCTTATATTCAGAAAACCATTCTGTATAAATGAAGAAGGGCGTTCGTAGTTATGTGAATGTTGAAAAAAATGCTAGAAGCCAGCATATGCCAAAGCTTTCGCTAATGACTTATAGTGTCAATTACCGATTGTTAATTGTACTGATTCAAATCTAAGACACTGATGCATTAACTCTTACAGTTATACATACTTTTTTTTTTTTTTTTTTTTTTTTTTTTGGGGGGGGGGGTATATCGTCAAGTGACGTTGAAGACGTTAATGTCTCCGTCCGTCTACCCCCCCCCCCCCCTTGGAAGCTTGGTTGCATTCTCCAGTACCAAAGGGGGATCGAGTTATGTGGAGGACACCGACTTACCGCCGAATTTGCCAAGGCGAAGGGCAGTAATTTGATGCTCAACCCAAGCAAATACGGGAGTTCACAAGGAACTCTGGTAGGCTCAGGAAAGTCACATGAAGGAAAAGAATGCAGAATAAAAGAAACAGTTTTTACTTTACATGAGATTACTTTATAACACTCAGAAGCAACAATGTCAAGTGAGACGAGAGGCCCCGGGTTCCAGGGTAGCTCTAGTGGCACAGGCTTTGTGTTTGTTGCTGCTGCGTTAAGGACCAGGTGTGAGCCTTACAACCTCTCAAACACGAGTGTTCTTACCGGAAGACCAACCCGATAGTTTATCAAGCCAAAAGACCCAAACAACCAGAGAAAAGAGAGAAGAGAAGGATAATGAAACAAACAGATTTAGAAGAACACCATAAAACTGAAGCTAATGAAAGACACTAAGATCATGAATTTGAATCAGCTTAAGTAAATTCTTAATCTGAGAGTTATATTCTTCATGCTCTATCTTCCCCTTCAAGGGACCAGAACTGGGTCACCACCAAGGGGTACTGTTCTCATGAGGGAAGCAAGGGAGACTGTTCTCATGAGGGAGGAGGGATAGCAAATTCTACTGGGTCTTGGGGACTAGTCAATTCTATGGGTTTCTTTCGGTTCTTGACATAAAATAATTAATTCCTTTTCTTCCTCTGTTTAGAGTCTTCCCTTATATAACTCAGAAGGGGAGCTGTCCCATCCATTATGTACACCATCGCATCTGGGGGATTCTTGACTTCACATCCTTTATCCCCTTCTTATATGCTTTGTTTGTCTGTCTATAGGTGTCTGGGTATTTATTCATGATTTCCATTTTTAGATTTATCATATCGGCCCACACTTGAATTGCATCGGCCCTTAGGTTAGCTGCCACAAGGCCTTGCCATTGTGTTGCGGCTTCTGACCATATCTGTTCATCTAATTCTACTCTCCATCTAGGGGGAAGGCTTTAGTGGGGCTAGGAATGTAGGTTACTATTACTTTACAGATCCCTGTGGTGCCTCTAGCTTTACTTCTGTCACATAAATTAACCCATTCGCCACACATGGCAAGAATAGATGCCATACCCACTTTGAGACACATTTATTTATTGTATTTACACAGAGATGGCTCCACAAGTTCTTAATCACCAAACAGCCAGTTATCAAGAACTACCTATTTCACCTGTTTACCCCTTTCCTTCACTCTAGGAAAAGATTTTTTGTATCATTTCACTGTCTAAAATATTCTAATGACAATTTAATAATCATAACATCAATAACAATAATAACAGTATCGATAGCTATGGTATTATTTTTCCCGCCAATTCAATGAATGGAAGAATCAGGGTCGGTAACTAGTGTTTCACGGGTCACCAGAAATAATACGGCTTGTCATAATGGTTTATGATTTATTTCGACCTGCAATAAACATTAACACACAAATAACACAAATCTTATAACATGGGCACAACAAATGAAACAAATACCAAATAAAATAAATAAAATTATGTCAAAATATTAATGCAAATTATAAAGAAATCAAACTTACAACATTGCCTCATCTGGTGAGCGTGAAGTGTTATCCCTGTTTTCCACTTAGAACAGAAGATCTCTTTTTGGGAATATACTTATCTGCTACTAAAGATGCTCATATACAATTCTAGCATCCCAAAACAACAAGAAAATAAAACTGCAACTTATAATACAACTTCAAAAACATAATATGAATCTTTGTTTCCCATCATGCTCAGCACAAAAAAAAAAAAAAAAAAAAAAAAAAAACAGAAATTGGACATGCGTGATAAAATAACAAAAAGGAATAAATTATCATTAGTTAATACAAACTAATGATACACTCCCCCACACAATCATTGTTCTTCCACCGGTAATAATACAACCAGCTTGTGGACTGATCTTCTAATGATAGTATCAGACTGACCTTTGTACTCTTTACCTGGTTTCTGCACTTTATATCTAATACTCACATCCCGAACTTTAGTGTCTCTTCCCTTTTCTACTTTTACAACTTGTCCCATTTTCCATTTTCCTTTAACTGTATTAGAATCTTGTATTAACACAATATCACCAGACTGCACATTTCTTTTATCAGTATGCCATTTTTGTCTAACAATTAATGTAGGGAAATAATCTCTGCCATTTACACCAAAATGTATTAACAACATTTTGTATATAATCTAACCTTCTCTTTGTATTGAAAGAATCTTTCCATGGTCCACATGGTGCATGATTACTTGCCCTGCCTAAAAGCAAATCATTTGGGCACAAGTAAGTTCCTAATTCTAAATCCATACCAGGTTTTAATCCAATAGGCCTTTCATTCATGAGGTTTGCTATTTCAAAAAATATAGTTTGTAGACCACTATATGTCATCAGAGTAGATCCAATTATCATGGCTAAGGATCTTTTCACAGATTTGATCAAGGACTCACTAACACCATTTTGCCATGCTGCATCAGCTGAACGGTTGAAAATCCATTTTAATCCCCTTTTTGTTCCAAATTCAGAAATATCAGACATATTCCAGTTATTTATAGCTATTTGAAGTTCCTTACTAGCTGATACCAGCTGAGAGCCTAAGTCTGAATGAACAGTAGCTGGATATCCATGAACAGCTGTGAAACGTCTAAAAGTCTTCAAGAAACTATGGGTATCATATCCATCAACACCATCAATATATACAGCACGAGTAACCATGCAATGAAATATAACACCATAAGCTTTACCAGTAGTTCTTTTCTTCACATTGTCTCTTATTTGAAATGGCCCAAAGATATCTGTAGCAGTGTGATAGAAAGCTGGACATGGAGTTATTCTTTCAGTAGCGACTTGACCCATGCACTGACCTTCAACTTTGTAATCTAATCTCCTACAAGTAACACATTTACGTTTCACTGCTCTGATGACTTTACGTGCTGAAGGAACCCAGAACTTTGTCTGCAGTTTACTAAGTGTAACATCCACTCCAGCATGATCTATATTATGCAAATGACTAATATAAAGTATAGTAAACAAATGTTTCCTGGGTAACAGGATAAAGTTATCTTGATTCCAGTTTTGTTTTAACCAATGCTCCAGTCTTTGACCTACCATAATTATACCATTTTCAGTCTTGTATGGTCCCAATCTTTGATATTTCTGTTTCCAATTACCAGAAAAACATTTTTGTGCTTGCCTGATCCAAAATTGTAATGCTTCATTTAGAATATCAGGTTCAAGCCTTAATAAGATACCCTTTAAAGATCTGATCTTCATTACATTTAATATCCTACCAGTAACTGCAATAAGTTTATTGTAATTTTTGAATTTAGATAAATCAATCACATTCATCTGAGTCCTTCAGACAGTGTGTTAAATTCACATGGACTCTATCAGGCAAGTCACATTCAATAGATTGACTTATTGGCCACTCTTCTTTGGGTAGAGTCATGAATTTTGGACCATATTTCCACAATGAACTGATGATAATATCTGATGGATCATTAGGTCTAGTAAGTAAATCCGCAGGATTGTGACAAGAAGCAATCCACCACCATTCATTGGGATTACTCTTCGATTGTACTTCTGCTACCCGTGTTGCTACAAAAGTCCCAAATCCATACGACTCCTTTTGGATCTGTGCTCTCACAATAGCCGAGTCTGTTATATGCATTACTGAACTAAATCTATATGATAATTCATTTTCGATCTGCATGAAATAATTGCTCCACACAATTCAAGTCTGGGTATGGAAAGTTGTCTGGTAGGAGCTATTCTTCCTTTTGCCATTATTAGCTTACTTTCAAACATTCCAGATTTCATTTTCCACCTAGCATAAGCCACAGCACCATATGCATTTGATGAACTATCACTAAAAATAACAAGCATAGGCAGACCTATCGCTGTGGGTGGTTTGATACATCTTTCAAATGACAAGGAATCAATCCCAAATAACTTGTGAAAGTGTACTACCCATTGCTCTTTCATATGGGCAGGCAAAGGGTCATCCCATCCTAACCTGGAGGAATGTTACAAATAAAATTTGAAAATTTTAAATCTGGACCTGTTCGTATACCCTTATATTTAGGAGAAAAAATCAACTTTGCTTTGAATTTAAATTCATCATTCCAACGGTCCCAATATAAACCAAGAATTTTATCGCCTTCATTCTCTGAAAAATCTAGATCATCCCTATCAACATCACCAATCATAATCCACTGCTTTACCTTAAAATTGTCATATGAGAGTATTTTCTCAGTTTCCTGAATCAACTGCAAAGCTTTCTCTTTACTCTCAACTGATTGTATAATATCATCAACATAAGAATTTGATATTATCATAGAAGCAGCATCGGGATACTTTTCCATCCATAGCTCAGCTGTGTGTTTAAGAGCCAACATAGCAATTATTCCAGGTTTGTCACCAAAGCCCATTGAAGTTAACACATAATGATCAGGCTCACAATTCAACTGGAAATCTCTCCAAACAAATCTGCGTACATGTTGCTCTATTTCAGGAAGCTTAATACTGTTGTACATCTTACTTATATCACCTGCTATACCTATGGCTCCTTCACGGAATCTCATCTTTAATCTTTACAAACAAAACATGGGCAGCACATTTCTTATCGTCAAGTTCCTTAATGTAAATGTCTGCAGACTTTAATTCTTGAGTATCACTAGTTTCATCAAGTAAATTGCAATAACTTTCATTTGCTAGTTCAACTTCCTCAAAAGCTTTAACAATCAAATTATAGTTATCTTCCAATATTTCTAAGGCAACTTTATCTTTCACATGCTCATAAAACTTTTCTAGCTTACGTGTTAACTTTCCTTTGGCAGTTCCTCTATGCTGCTTAGCCCTTTTTGACTGATTCTTCATCCAACCGTCTACCGAAGCAGCAGAGCCCTCCATGCTGCCGTGCTGAGGCTCCTCGTCGCTGAGCCCCATCCTGAGTGTTGTCGAAATGTTTCACGGGTCACCAGAAATAATACGGCTTGTCATAATGGTTAATGATTTATTTCGACCTGCAATAAACATTAACACACAAATAACACAAATCTTATAACATGGGCACAACAAATGAAACAAATACCAAATAAAATAAATAAAATTATGTCAAAATATTGCTACGCCAGAGGGTCTTTGTCTCTGTGCAAACGTGTGCGAGCGCGTGCGAACGCGTGTTGGCGTGTTTTGACAGGAAGATGACGCGGCGGCGGAGGAAGGGGGCAGACGGGGGAGTCGAGTTTTGGTGCCGCTGCTGTGATGACCTCGCGTGTGCCCTTCTCCAGCCTGATATACTTTGTGTTGCCCTGTTATATGCTGTATTGTGCAGTGTGATGTGCTGGTTTGCCTCCTGTATTGTGCCTATAGAAAAGTGTACGGGTAAATAACTGTGTAAATAAAGGAAAGACAGGGATTGTGAGTTTTTCTTTCGTGCCCTGCCTCGCCCGTGGCGTTTTCCCTCGTGGTGTTTTGGGACGGTGTGGTACTCGGTGCTTCTTGGAGCTGTTCAGTGTTCACGACCCTGTGAATAACACGTCGTTTGCCTAGCTTGCCTCGTGTTGGTGGCAGGTAGAGAGGTGGCCGGCGTAACAATATTAATGCAAATTATAAAGAAATCAAACTTACAACACTGCCTCATCTGGTGAGCGTGAAGTGTTATCCCTGTTTTCCACTTAGAACAGAAAATCTCTTTTTGGGAATATACTTATCTGCTACTAAAGATGCTCATATACAATTCTAGCATCCCAAAACAACACGAAAATAAAACTGCAACTTATAATACAACTTCAAAAACATAATATGAATCTTTGTTTACAACTCAAAATTCCCATGCGTTACCTCTATTTCCCATCATGCTCAGCACAAAAAAAAACAGAAATTGGACATGCGTGATAAAATAACAAAAAGGAATAAATTATCATTAGTTAATACAAACTAATGATACAACTAGGGCCTACTGATAGACTCCTTGCCGGCTGAGTACATGTGGAGACATCTGTATGTAACAAAATTCATCAAAAACTACAGAGGACAGAACATAATTCCGTGGCGAATGGGTTAAGGTACTCTAAGCATATGGCTTCTTTCTTGAATAGAATAGTCAAAAATATGGAATTCTGTTAACCCGGTTTCCCTATCTAGAACTATATAAGTGTCAGAACTTGACCACTCATCATCAAAAGGGTTTTCAGGGTGTCCTATTTTTGCTTTTCCTTCTGATAGGATGAGTACAGAAGGTGAAGCCTTTATTGCTTTATTCCCTTTGACCCATGTGTCTGGGTGGTTCCATCCTCCTTGTAAGGATTGTATCAAGTTCCTTTCCCTATCCTCAGAAACTCCTCTCTTGTCTTTTGGGTCCCTTCTTTCCTTAGGGTGGGTCCTATCCTTATCTCTCTAATTGGCCCACTTATCCCTGGCAGGGCCTCTTCCCACTCTCTAATAATCCCTTCAGTAATCTCTTCTACTTCCTCTCTCCAGTGTTTCCTTGTTACTATCTTGATTTAGAAAACTGCTATATCTCAATGTCTCATCAACTGGTGGAGGCACCGATATTGTCCTTACAAAAGGAATCTTTAACTATAAACGGTAATCATAAACAATCAGATGTGATAATAGTAATAATTTTGGAAGAACCTTTGATAGAATGAAATCATTATATAAAAACAATGATAAAAGAAACAAACCCGATAACAAGAGCAAGAGTTTTATTACTGCGAATGAATCTTATAATTATGATAAATATGATATTGATAATAACAATTGTAATAATGATAATAGTAATGATACTATCACTACTATTAACAAAAGTAATGATAATAATAATAATTATCATCAAGGGGCCAACGTCGACGGGGGCGCATGGCCGCATCCACCCTTCGCTTCCAGGCATGAGGATCCCTCGAGTCTCCAAGCAGGACCTCGGCCCATCTCTAACTCCTCACAGCAGGTCTCGTCAAGCTGCCTATGCCATGACCTCCTTGGTTGTCCCATGGGCCTCTTTCACCCTGCCCATTAGAAACCTAATGGGCAGGGTCATCCACCATAGGGAAATAAGATTGGACACATTGTCCTGCCAACTGTACCCTGTGATCCAGCAAAGAGACTTGTTACAAAAGGCATTAAGACGAGTCTCCAAAGCACGAGATAGCGTCCAGGTTTCGTTTTCATAGAGCAAAATTGGCATTATCAAGGCCTTGAAGACACATAGCTTGGTCCTTTTGCATAGGTATCGATATCTCCAAATCTCTTATTGATCGAATTCGTGGCTCCTGTTGCTAGATTAATCCGTCTACTGACCTCTTGATCTGACAGTCTAGAGATATGGACTGTACTACCAAGGTATGCAAAGCTCTCTGTGACTTCATCATCCTCACTGCAAGCATGGATCGACTGAATTCCTCTAACAGGCCCCCAAAGTTCTGAATCTTGGTCTTGGTCCAGGAGACCTCTAGGCCTAAGGGCTTCACTTCATTGCTAAATGCATCAAGAACTGCCACCAGCAACAATGGGCAAGTCAAGGTCTGAGACCTTGATATTGCCTAGTGTTGCGGTTGATTTCAGGTAGCAGCTCTGCTCATTATCCAGTCCAAGCAGGTGTTGAAAAGTGTTGGTGCAAGGACACAGCCTTGCCTCACCCTGAATTAACAGGGAAGAAGTATACAGGCCCCCACCACACTTTATAGCACAATTTATAGCCTAATAATCCGTGTCGAAATTCCCCTAAGTCTCAGAATCTCCATCAGCAATTCTCTATGCAACAAGTCAAATACCTTCTTGATGTCGATGTAGATGGTGTTCCACAATTGCTGGGAGTGCTAGGATGTAGTGTATTGTGGACATGCCAGGAGTGAATCCAGACTGCTCCAGTCTCTGGTGCCTTAATAGAAGAATGTGGGCAAAAACCTTGCCCGGTATACTGAGCAGTGTAATGAAACAGTAGTTGCTACAGTCCCGACAATCCCCTTCCCCCTTCCAGAGAGGGATGACGATCCACCTCAAGAGGTCAGGGAGAAAGGTACCAGATGGCAGTCAAGACTGTATGCAAGTCCCATGACATAGGTTCACCCCCAGCCTTTAGCAGTTCAGCAGGAATATCACATATGCCTATGGCTTTTCTACACTTCAGCTTGGAAATTGCCATCCTAACCTTAGGGTAGAAGGTTCTTTGCTGATGGGTGGGTCTAGCACAGGTATTGTGATACTACTTGCATCCAAGCTAACTGTTGGAGGGTTTACCTGGTACAGCTGCTCAAAATACTCAGCACAAC